GGATCATCCTCTTCATTCATACCTCCGCTAAACCATTCGAGAAGGACTCCACGCAGGCACGGGCAAGTACTGAATGGCTGTGGCAGCCAGCGAGTGGCGCATGATCTGAGAATCAGATGATGACCATCTTATCGTTGGGCGATGAAGCACTTGAGCTTAGGATGCAACGCTTGCCACTTCGACAATCTAGCTTCAGCCGCTTCTGATTCAGAGTCGAGTTTGCGCTTGCGGACGTTGCCTCCTTGAGGTCTGACTTCCGGTTGTGGTGAAGGTTTGACAGCATGGGGGACAGCTTGACCCTCCGCAGCATTCTCAATGATAAATGCTCCTCCCTCAACCTTCTGAGCCGCTTCCCAATGGGAAGCGGCTCAGAAGATTTGTGGGAAGTTCCCATCGGAACCACGCCAGAAGCAATGCCGGAGCTATCGCTTAGTTATATTTAGTCTGAATGACCGACACAGCGCGTGTCGGTACCGACAGTGATGGGTGAAGAGCTCTCCGAGAACAGCCTTCACTTAGATAATAGTTCAGGTTAGTTACACATTGTAGGAAGTTCTCACTAGGAGCTCTTGAAGAGTTACTCTTCCTTCAGTCACAAAAATTGGCGTGACGCTCACTGTAGTTCAGTGAGCGTCACGCAATTTTTTGTCTATCTTGAGAAGCGACAGTGTCGCTGCGACACGCCTACAGCGTTCCCGCTTGCTCTTGATTGTTGGAGGAATATACGTTCGCTCTCCTCAGCTGAGCTCAGGAGTCCCCTCAGGGAACTCCACCAAATTATTCAGGCTGAATAATTATAGTAGTCTATATACAAATTCGGGTAGAGCCAACCAAAGTTTCCCGAGATTTCCTCAAAATTTGCATACCGACATATGTATTTGACCATGAGCCGCTCATGATGAGCGTATTTCCCCGTATTGCTCTTGAGGCTAGCCATATTGGAACGATTTTCGTCCTTAGGTACTTTACTCACCGATTTATCATTGTGAGCGTTGTGCGTGGTGCTCTTAGTCGAAGTCACCAATTCTTGGAGTCAGAACTGTACCAGACTTGAAATTTGAGTTCATATCCAAGTAGGCTCAACTTGAACGCATGATGAAGTAGGATGATGCAGTATGAAGTAGGCTCCATCGTGCAGGTTATTGAAGATTCAGACGGTATCGGAGGTCCTTCTACCGGTCCTTTCATCGACCCGAACCAGAGAGTAGTGCAACCGATCGTGGCTGAAGTGACAGCGATCCTGCTGTGGTAAAGTCTCAAGTCGGTTCCAGCCTGGAATTTTTCTTATACCTTAGCTAGTTGTTTGGGAGACGGCACCTATCTGCCTGCGTGTTAGGCAATGTGACTAGGGTGTTGCGCCAATGGACGGCGTGTTAGAAGCAGACAGTGTTATCACTAACTGCTCCCCAGTCGACTTTCACCAAGCCTCAAAGAGGCTGCCTCATCGAGAATCTAGATTCCATATAACTATTGCGATGCGGTGAAGCATGCCTTGACCAAGGATCGTAACAACTTTCTGAAGTTCCGATTTGAAACTCTCGACAAATCCTGCTCTATTGCGTCGAAGTGGTGCGCCATCGATTTTTTATAGATTCTTCAATAAAGAACTCTGACGAACGGGTAGCGTGAAGAGTGGCAGGATTGGATGGGAAAGTTTGAGACGAATCGGGGTGTGACAGACCCCTATCTGTCATGATCGAGGCCTGTCAGGGTTCGACGTGATAGATTGCTACATGTCCGAATCATTCACGGATACGGTCTGTGAGTGATTCTTTAGTATTGATGATGTATTTTGCTCTCATTTTCTCTTGAATATATCCACAATGATAATTGTCCCTAGCAGCAACACAAAGCTGTTTCAACCAGTGCTAATGACACCAAATACGTGAGGTTATTGATTCTGGAAAAACTACTTTTATCATCATTATTCATGACTACTTCATTCTCTAATCCTGGATTGGACAGTGGGAGGCAACGAACTGATCACAGGAGTCTAAGCCTTAGTAGCCACACATATAGCCACACATCACATGCTCTCTTCGCGACAGGAAGAGGGATAACATACCAACCCAGCCCTCAATTTGTCGAGAATCGTGACCGGACCGCGGCTTTTTGACACTCCCGCCTGCCGATGCCCCACAAGAACTAATTCCTCATGATCTCTGTACCCGAAATCAGCTTGTCCTTGCGCAGAGGTACGATGAGGTAACGTTATATATCCGCCACTTGATACATTTGACAAGAAAAACGCTACGAAGTCGAAACTGGTACAGCTCCTTCCTATATAGCTGATTTTACGTGTGAAGATACCTCAGTACTCAATACAGATATTAGAACCGTTGGTACAGCGTTGGAAAGAGCCCAACAAGGGCTTTCAAGTGGTATCTTTGCTCGCGAACTGTCACTTGCCGCGAAATTACGGGGGGTGAGCCATGTTTTTTGCACTACCCTGTGAAGTCATATGACATCGACACCAGATATTATCCCACTCATTTCCTAATGAATAACTCCGAGCCCTTTAATGATCCTAAGTTGTCACTGGGGAGAAACGCACTTGATCCTCACGACGCTACAACGAAGAGAACAACGCAACCGTAGTATAGTAGCTGATCGAAGGATCTATACTGGGCGCGTGGACACGCCGAGTCTTCTCGACTTGACGCGCTGCGTTGCGCATCTTCAAAAACTATTACTACTAGAGAAAACCTCTTTGTTGAGCAAAATCGAAAACTCATGTCTTAGACATGATGTCTAGCCAGTAAGGCAAAGACGACCATATATGCGAGATTTGAGATGAGTATTCTTTCTCATCGATGAAGCAGGGTTATAAGAAATACGGCGAAGTACATCATTCAACGGGCAACTATGATTTACTGATAGGATAGACGGGCTCGCGAAGGAGACCACATACACCTGAGGTAACATACACATCACCATGGATTGGGAGGAAAGTTTCCTCATACTCTCTCAGAGAGTTGAACTCACCATATTCCGTATCGTCAATAACGATTCTTGCATAGCCATGCTCTCCCCATTTGGTGCCCCATGAGTTCTTTATACGATAATATCTGAGGGGAACAACAGTAGAGCCGCGCGGCTAGCGTCACGGCCTAGTAACTAGGCCCTAGCTCTTACGGGTCATGGCCTCTATCATAACCAACTACAAGGACAGCATGAGTTGGGAAGTTGCCACATACATCTAAAAAGATTGTCGTCGCGCTCAAGCAGCTACTTTGATGACGGGTCATACCTCCCTTGATGATACCACTCTTATAGTTTTGGAAGACCCCAGACATCCCACAGATGAGTGTACTGACAGGCCCACCAAAGGCAACGGCTGCGAGCATCGAAGATGAGGAATTGCTTTTCACATTTACATGACTTATGGTTCTAGCCTGGAAGTAGTTGATTAGGATCTGCTGTTTCCTACGGCCTTAAACTCACCTTAACGGCGTCTTTACTAACATTGCGACGACACTGACCATCTTTTCCTACATATTTATAAGCTCTTTCAGTTTCCAAACCATGATCCGCAACATACTCGTAGGAATCGTTCAAATGACGTGTACCATTGCATCCTCTGACAACAATCAATGGTCATGCCAACTAGAAATTGCAATACTGATTGCCGTAGGCTGTACTGCAGTCGATAAGTTCCTGCTCCGAGAGAGAGACAAGCTGACCAGTAACATTCTTGTGGAGGCCTTCCAATGCACCTAGTAAGGCACCTTTACGTGAGTAGCAACGATGAGGATCTCACCAGCAACGCCAAAAGCCCAGCAGCTGCCGCATACAGTTCCTTGGGACTTCACATCAGTAACCCAACCTTTTTCGACATAGTCGACCCTCATCGGCAGATCATCATCGACCGAGCCCTCAAATCCGAATGTTTGGGCCTCGGAGTCTGACACGTGGCTGCGTCAGGTAATTCGTACTCTTTCGAGCGCCTACCGATTCCTCGCAACATCGTTTGCTGCCAGTCACCAAGGGAGTATCCTCTTGTGACGAACTCTCTGAATTCATCGTTTGTAAGATGAGTGAAAGGAGTGATACCCAGCTTGTAGGAAAGGTCTGAGAACCACAACCATAACCAGGCAGTACTGCAGATAATTACATCTTACTCCTTGAATTTACTTCATCTATGAACTTGAGGTTGTCGTGAAAGATGGCAAGTCTCTTGACATCCTCTTCGCCAAAGTCATGATCGTATCTGCAACAAAGCTGTGTCCAATAGCTACCAGAAACATTGCGCACTACTCATTCTTGTACGCTTCGAATAAGTTCTGCACCTCAAGAGGCGTTCGTTTACTGAAAACACCTAGAATTGAAGATAGTAGGATAGGAGTGAGCATTAGTCACACAAGAAAGCCTGGATCCAGAAGGCTGTCGGGAGAGAAAACTCTCAGAGCAACCGAATAGCCGTGAAGAGAGAGACCGAATCCCCCGGTACGTGGAACCTTGGAAACCGCCACGGCGTTGTCTTACACTTATGTGACCTGTTACTGTGCGTGAGTTCTCCTTATTACAGCATTTCGTTTCCGGCTTCTGGGGAAGGTCTCTGTGCTGAGTCTGCTCTCGCGTGCGTACGACTGCTTAGGTCGTCGCCACCCGAATACAATCGATCAGGCTATGTTTGCGTGCCCCAGCACTCATTGCTAGTGCTTTGGGAGCCTACGAATTGCCCATTATTCTTTCCGGTCGAATTTATTGGCTTATAGTAGGAATATGAGTTTCACATGACATCTGTGTCAGATATTATCAACTTCATTTCCTGATGAATGACTCCGAGCCCTCAAATGATCCTCAGTCGTCACTGGGAAGAACCATGCGTGAGCGGCTCACGACGTGAGCCTCACGTTGAGCCCCAGGACGCTACATTGTACAAATGCATGAAAATTTGATTTCTCGGCTAGTACGGGGAGTACTCATACATTCTCTCAGCACTCTGAATGTATCCATATAACAAGTAAACACTAGGAGTTCGGTTGGCTGAATCAAACGCCGCGTGACGCGGCGTGACTCGCCGCGCGTGCCAAAAACGATCGTGCGCAGGCGTGCAAATTCCTAAGCAGCACAACATCACTGGAGCATGGAGAATCAAATGGCATGGGAATTCACATTTCTTGCTTTGATGTGAGCACCACCACATGTGAGAAGTTCTTACTGAGAACACGTTTCAGGCGGTTGTCAACAGATTCTGATAGCGACAGTATTTCGCAGAAGGACCAGAGGATGATCACGGCTTCAATTGAGCAGTCCTAGATGTTCGGAACATGTTTGGAACATCATGTTCCAACGACACTATAGACTCACCAGACTCTCTGGTTACACCACGTGTGATTATCATCCCAGACTCAGCGCGACAAGGATCAACTTTAGCTTGAACAATGAGGACAACAGAGTGGCCAGAGCCTGTGTGACTCACAGGGCATAAGTCCCAGTGTAGGAAAACAGTCGCTCAGCAACACAACTGTGGCACGAAGGCTCGAAGGAAGAGATCTCGCGTCGTTGGTCACACAATTCCGTGTCTCTCCAGGAGACTCTCCTGAGAAAAAAAGCTATTGTGTCCTTCTCGTCCCTTTCCCTCTCTCGCTTCTTTACCACTATACCACCACTTCTACGGTGGAAGTTCCACCACAATGTCGTGTCTGGTATTCAGCCGTCAATTAACGGGGAAGGAGCTGCGACTATTACACTTTTAGTTTCACACCACACTGGCTATTCCGAGATAACCCGAGACCATAATGTGAGCTTAGGGGAAGTGCCAGGATAAATATATTTCCTTCCCATTACACTCATTCAATATTCGTCTGTTACAGATGCTCTTAACGCAACGCCCTGAACTGCAGACTAAGAGTTAATCATTAACTGTTAATGGAGAGAACAGCCCAACAGTAGAACTGGTCAATTTGATGATGGTGAAGGCAAGTTTGCAGGGGAGTGGGCTCACTCTTTGAGAGTCACAATTTGTGACTCACAAACGGCTCGACAAATTCAGGGATCACTTGATTTTATACAACCACCAACTTATATAGTACTCCCACACTAGACCGACCAACAACTTATGTAGTAGTCCCACACTATACCGACCAGTGATCGGTATAGTGTTGGTGGTCGGCGACCACCAACGAGTGTGACGATAGCATCACACAACACCGCATAACTGTATTAAAAACCATCGCTCTCTCAGTAACATATGTCTCCTACGTTAGAACACCAACGCCTCGTCATCTATGTTCGTGAATAATAACAAGGTCCCAACTTGGGACTCCCAAGTAAACCAGATCACTTCTTCTCAAAATTTTTACTCTTAACTTCTATAGGTGATCTACCCCGCGATATGATGGTCCTTTTTCCAAACGCACCCAAATAGGAATTTTGTCCATAGTATCCTTCCGACTTGGAAGGGTACTATGGAAGGGTACTTCGGAAGAATACTGTCGGAGTACGCCGTACTCCGACAGAGGGTGAGTTGTAGTTCTTTCATTGGTGATAGATAGATGATGATGAAATGATTTCAGATACATTCCGGTTAGATCAAATGTGTCCGAGGTCGTATCGAGAATCTTTAATTTCGCCGAGGCCGACTCTGTGATTGCAGCCGCAGCGTCCAAACTAGGACACTATTTTGATGCTGGTATCCTCTATAGCAGAGCTCAGAATGCCCTGGAGAAGTCCTTCAACACTGAGAGCAAATTGTTCGGGCCGCTCGAAGTTAGCGGGAACTGGATCTCTCCGTTTGACCCGTCAACGCGGTCAGTTGAGTTCTTCACTCGGGCTTTGGCAAGTCAGTATCGCTTTTATGCGCCCTTCAATGTGGACTTCCTCATCACGAAGTATGGTGACCGAAAAGTGCTCGTGAGCACTTTGAAAAGCTTTTTAGTGAACAAGTGTGTCCAGTTTACACGAGTGATAACCGTCACGGTTATCACTCGTGGTGTGATTCACGAAGAGACCGAGTTAGAAGTCCTAACTTAGGACTCACGAGTGAATACTTTGGTCAATACGGTCACAATAACCAGCCGTCTCATCACGTTCTCGGGTTTTGCAGTCGTCCCTCAGTGGTTCCTCGACAGGAAGAGGCTCCTCATAGAGGCTGGTTAAAAATTGTTCAGAATCCGTACAGGTTGGAGATCCAAGGGCGTCATTTAGACGTCCATAGAGCCGCTCGCCATACAGCCCTCGCTTGGTTCACTTTCAAAGAGCGTTGTGACAGGCCATTGGGAGCAGCAGGCTACCTTCCTATTGGTGAGATATTATTATAATCCATCACCAGGGCGAGCGCTACACGTGCATTCGTTTGTAGGCAAGCATTATCATACGATTTTCGTTGAAAATATTCCCGTTCTCACAATCCATGAGCGAGATCAGGTGGGTTCGGGGACTGTTTGCAGCTTTTCAAAGTCGTTTATCGGAGTAATTTGGGGAAATTCCGTAAGTTTATGAAACGGGATAGTGACAAGATCATCTTGTCAAGATGTGGTTATTCATGATAATCGTGGACGTTTTACTGACTGGACTCGTGGACTGCGTGAGAAATCCCAAAACTATCGTTCGTTGTTGATAAGGTACGTCGATTTATCACGCTCATTGACGGGTTATATGAAGCTGGCATCAAATTTACTTGACGGAGCATGTGGAGGGTCGTCGGAATGTACCGAAGTGGTGATCACCTCGATGGATTTTCTGGATCTCGACAAGAATGGAGTTATCGACAGAAACGAATTCGAGCAATACTGTCAGAGATACGGTTAAGCATTCACCGGTCATATAACCGTAGTTAATGCTGAAGCGTGATACGTCGCAGTGGTCGCTACAGTTGCACATTACTGTTCATATGACGTCTTGTCTCTCACTTCCTTTTCACTCCTGTAGTCCGACGTTTTCTCTTTGATTCTTTCACATTCTTGTAAGACTGGTTTGATTGGAGCGTTGAGTTTGTGAGTGATTGATTGGTGAGCTCATCGAAACTGTTTATCATCCATTACTGAGTTGATAACACTGCCTGACCAGTCAGTGCAATATATCCAGTGTTATGTTATAACACAGCTGCGAAGTCTGAGTTCCTCTTTTTTCCCGACTCGTATCATCCTGATCAGCATTCCTGATCGCACCATCGCTCCCCCCAATGGTTGATAGTCAAGTCAATAACCCTGATCATTACGGTCCGACATCTCACAATACGCAGGAATCCTGCGGCAGGATTATCACCAAAAATTACACCACACATAAGTAAAACTTGGATCGTTTTGGCTGTGGTCAAGATAGTCAACCGTTTAACAGAATCAAATGAGAAACAACACATACTTCGAGTCGAAGTCTTCGACATTCCGTCCTAGGGGTCATCTGGAGAGCAGATTCCGTGAAATTCATGGAGCCACTAAAGTTGCTCCTTAACTGTGCCTTAAATCTAGGAATGCCTCGACAAGCTTCTTAATAGTGTGCTATAAACTGAATGAACGCTATATGATGTATTACGTCGAGGCTTGCTGGAGTCGAACGGAAGACCCATTTTTCTCACTGACCAAGGCATACATCATAGTGGTGGCCATTCAAGCCCTTCAATACCATAAATCCCATGACTGCTGCTCCTTGACTGATACAACACAAGATGATCTTCTCGGGTGAGAGAAGTACAGCGTAGAGCGGCAAACTGATCGTACCAATTGTAAGGTGAGAGGACTATTATGTGCTCGTATAACATGCACGAGCAAAGATACGTCAGTATGGAACGGTCTACTGTACGAACGAAAGATGTAGGGTGGTCATGATATCAGGACATCTCAATCAAAGCGTCCAAAAGTCAAACAGAAAGTCATGACAGGCTTCTCGCAGAAGGCAAGAGATCTAAAGTGAGATCATCTACTCTTCCAATATCCACCAGTGAAGAAATTCTCGGAGATACTCTGCGCTCCACTGGGCTCATACAAGAACATCATATGACCCGCGTCAAGCACCTGAATGAACCATTGATGATCTCTGGGTCTCGAGGGACCTCAGAGACAACCCACGAGGCTGTACTTTGATGAATGCGAGCTTCGCTCCATTTGTATACTGTGAGGCCCACATCTTGCCGAAATTCCTACCATCAACCTACGAGAGCCATAATGGGGTAACATCGTTGTGGAAGATACTAACCTTGATATCCTTAGCAGGGGATTCCTTGAGCAACTTCCCGTAGTCTTTAACTCCTTTCAATTTCGAAACCCCTTCGAACGCACCGACAGCATTGGTCATAAAATCTTGGTCACCGTTCACGACAAGTACCTTGATGCGAATTTGTTATAGTTATATCATTCGCCGCCTGATTGAAGAGGTGCTCTTTGTTCAGCTTCATTCAGTACGTCTTAGGTAATAGTACAGAGAACGGTACGCCATGCGGATAACTCTGCGAGAGGCTTTTCGACAGCTCACTTTCAATCCTGCATCGAGGAGACTTGTGACCTGATATGTTGTATCATAGGCAACGAATCTAACGAATTGGTCGTGGACCTAATATCAGTATCCTTCACATAGAATATCACGGAGGTAGAGTACTTACCTGATGATTATAGGGCATCCACTCTTTTGAAACGCCCAAGGCTTGCTGCACAGACTTCAGGTTCAAGAGGTCGGGCACCTTTGAGTAATACGCGGTTCATTCGGGATGAACTCCAGAGTGATAAGATATGCATCGACTTCAGATAGAACCATGACAGCAATAAAAGGCCGTAGAAAGGTTGTCACACGTTATACGGGGAAGTCTACTAGCTTACGTCCCCAGGGTGAAGTCTGTAGAAAGTGTTCTCCTTTCCAGGTGGCACGCGGATGTCGTAACTAAGTGAATTAGGAAAGCGACCTTCAAAGATAGAAAGGATCCTCTGAATGCAGACTCTGCATTGGAGAGAGTCACTACTACTCCAATGACAATATTGGAAACATCATTTAGTTATAGATTGTGTGAGAGTAAACAACCATTACGCCGTAACCCAGCGTTCAAAATGGATCTTTTGGATGTCGACCCACTTACGCGCTTGTTCCTGCTGAAATAAGCCGCTGCGCGGTGTTCTTTTCACAGGTGTTCAGAGCTTGCTTGCAGTAAACTAATATTGCAGGGAATGCACATCGTTTTGTTGGGGGAATATCTCCGTAGATGGCCCACGTTTGAATGTCGGAAGCAAACCTCGGACGTGAAATTCATTATTTGAGCTCACCTGAGATCGGAGTCCCTCCGGGGCCATTACGATTGCACTCATCTAGTTGTTCTTTACATTGGACCAGCCTTGCTTTCATCTGGTCGATGCTGAGAGGAAGTGCAACTCCACGACTAAATCAGTGAGAAAACGACTCAACTCTGCTGAGGGTAGCAGTTTGTGGTCCTGCGCCATCTGTAAGCATCCTTGATATCTGGGATGGTCCTCATCACACATGCCACATGTCACAACAACCTTACGTAGCTAGAGGCGCTGCAATTCCAGAAAGCATCATCACTCCAACCAGATTGACCTTGAAGCCGACAGACTTGACCAGCCGTGCCCCCAACGTTGCCATCATCTGGGCTGAGGGGAGGGGAGGGGGGTTTATACACTTATTGCCGGTGATGTGATCGCCTCGGAGTTTACCCGACGACGAGAAGCCGACTAGATGCACGTCATTGTTTAGGCCTTTATGTTGTTCGAAGAACTTTTTGACGAAGTCCACCCTGAAAGAAATCCGACTGGATCATCATTGCTGTTGTTGCGTCAACTCACAGGTCTAATATTAGATTCTCCCATCCGGCACCGATAGGTCCTTGACTGAAACCTGTAGGTATCGGTGCATCGACCCAGATACCGTTAGCTTGTCTCGTCCATGAGAACCTAGGGCACCGGAAGCTTCTAGTGGATACTGAACGTGCATAAACCCAACTTGTTTTCGATGAGCCAATTCCCATCCATGCGACATGGTCCGTTAGCTGTCAACATAATTCCAAGGCTGCTGGCACCGGGACCACCAGAGATGTATAAGAAGGTCTGTGCCGTTTTAGGATTGCCATCGGCCTGTATGATAGTGTAGAAGTACCTGGTACAGATATAGCAGCAGCACACCTGTAATGATCTGCAACGGATTCAGACTCACCAACCTATGCAAGGGGCTTGTTTGCACGTATCCATACTCCTGGTTTCCACTGCCCTTGGGGCATAATGTTTTACCTTTCTTCAATAGCTCAGACGGAAAGCTTGAGGCAGCTACGAAAGCGATAATAAATGGGAGGAATAAGACCATTTTATCGGGGGTGTAGCTTTGTTGCGGGAGAAGTTACGCTACGATGCACGCATGAGCCTTGGTGGACCTCTATAGGCCAATACCTTGTACCAAAATCGATATCTCACTGCTAATAGCAGTCTGCTATAACTAGATAAGCCAACTCGACTCCAGATTCTTGTAGTATACCAGCTAACTCAGTGATATGGTAGTGGCACTAGCCAGTTGTAGGGTATTTAGTTACTGTCGATCGATACCACAAATATAAGACGGATGTAACGTCCTCTTAGTCAAGACATTCACCCACGGTGAGAAACCCAACACTTTCATCTGCGCTTCATGATGAGTTTGTCAACAGAAGATGTTTTCAACTTGCTACCAAAGTCTTATCACACCCTGATGTTACCAAAGGAAGAGATCTCAGAAGTCTCCCTCATTCCGGCGCCCTTCTGCTCTACTAATATCGATCACCTGCGTACTTCACGTAAAAAGCTATCAATGAACAAGATTCCGCACACACTTGTGCGACATGAACTTGTAACAAACCCTACACGGATAGATTAACTGTAAAGAAATGAAGAAAGAAAGACAGACATAAATCCTGTCATAGAATCACCGTTGGATGCGGCTGCTCAGATCGTCGTAGTGGTACGTCCACGCGCGGCAGTCTTCCCCCCCCCCCCCAGTCGGCGACAACGTCGTTGTCACTTTCAATGAGTGACTCACTCATTCAAGTAGCACCTTCCGGCGCTGCGTCCGCCATGAGAGTGGTACCATCGGCATTCAAGTCCACCCGAAAAAAACGTCGACCGTCCTCGCTGTCCAATATGTGAACCCAACCTTCAGTCTTCTGCTCCTCTACACTAGGCCCCGCATACAAGCCCAGAACATCCGCACCCGTTACCAAACGAACCAGTACACAATCTCCTTCCTTTAGCTTGGCAGGGTCCACAGTGCCCTCAACCGCCGGAGTGGCTCGGGTACGGTCCACTTCCTCACGCCTCACCTCCAGGTGACAGGGAGAGACGGCGATAGTTTCACAGGAAGTCACCCCCAGAGGTCGGAGTCGTATTGAAAACCCCGCCATGCGGCCCAAGTAGACAAAAGGACCGCTGTTGACGTTCACCGTCTGAACCTTCACCACATGATTCACGACGTCCAGTGCACCTGGTCGACGCCATATCACCAATGTTCCGCCCTCAAGATCCGTGATATTCTTCGTAGGTCCTCTTCCGGATGCCACTCTTCGTGCTGAATCTTGCAAGCGAGTCTCCAGCACCGTGAGTCGTTCACGATCCAAAAGGCGAACTCTTTCCTTGATGTGGACGGGGTCCGTCGTCGATGGGTCTACATCGACCGTGGCGCCGTCCATCTCCGTCCCGAACTCCTTGGCCTGGGTCATGGAACCCAATAGTGCTGCGGAGGGGGCTAGTATTCGACTCTCCAGGGCACTCGCACCAGAAGCACGAACAGCGGAATTAAGCGTCACTTGAGCATACCAGAGAGCCTCGTCCCAAGCAGATGCATCACCGATACGATCTGATTGATCTTCTTCATTCATACCTCCGCTAAACCATTCGAGAAGGGACTCCATGCAAGCACGGGCAAGTACTGAATGGCTGTGGCAGCCAGCGAGTGGCGCATGATCTGAGAATCAGATGATGACCATCTTACCGTTGGGCGATGAAGCACTTGAGCTTAGGATGCAACGCTTGCCACTTCGACAATCTAGCTTCAGCCGCTTCTGATTCAGAGTCGAGTTTGCGCTTGCGGACGTTGCCTCTTTGAGGTCTGACTTCCGGTTGTGGTGAAGGTTTGACAGCACGGGGGACAGTTTGACTGTAGTAAACCGCCTCTCTCATTTGCTAGGATACATCATTGTGTTCGTATGTCTCTGTGGCGTGTGCAAGTCAATGATACTATAGCCGCTATAGTATAGCGCCCTTGTGTATTGTCCCCTAGCGTAAAGCTAGTCGTTATTGCGGAAGTTTTATTGTAATGTATGAACAAGTTATAAGCTCAATTTTAATTACCTTCTATGTCACAGTATCCGTCGAGTTCTAAGGGTGGGGATAATCCTGCTGATTCTAGTAAACGGTCTACACAGGCCGGGAACACTTCATTGGTACCCGATGCAGGATATCTTGCTCTTACTGGCCCCGGACATCGATCAGAAGGTGGTGTTTCTTCGGCTCGGAGTGAGTTTGCTAAGGCTGTTGGCCTCGATGCTAGACTCATTCATCTGCTCAAATCTGAAGAGGTTGAAGCTCTTGTGACTAAAACTTCTGGTGAGGATCTGGACAAACGTTTGCAACTTCGATTTCTATATCAGTCGGTTTTGGCTGAAGTCCCTAATGTTGCTGCTGCCCAGGTCAATGTTCCTCATGTACCTTCTCGGTTGGACTATGCTCGATATCATAGGCCTCTTCCTACGCCTGGGTTAGGTGGACGAAGTGATAATGGATGTGGTTCTAGCATTCATGACCTATGTATGGAGCAAGGTGATGCTGATGATTCTCTCAATATCAAATCGGTAGGTATGGTCTCTTCTTTACCTATACCTGGTGGTGGTCAATTTTTTAATGGCCGTAGTGATACAAGATCTATATCTTATTTTGTGCGAGAATGGCTCCAAATGTGTCGTATTTATGGTTTATCGACGGCTAATTGTTGGAGGTATCTTCTGAGATGTATCAATGCTAGTGTACGATCAGAGCTGATGGATAGCTTGGAAGAAAAGGGTCTTTTAGTTTCTGCTTCGGTTGAGCAGCGACTGCAACATGCTGAGATGTTTTTGAGAGGTGCTTACAGTATCACGGATGATACTGTGAAGTATCGTCAACGACTTGCTCAAGTTAAGCAGAAGACCAATGAACTTATTGGTGAATATATTGGTCGCCTGAGGGAATCTCTAGCGGAAGGTCGATGCTTAGGTATTAGTATTGCCAATGATGAATTGCTGGATAAGTTTGTTCGTGGATTACGACCAAATTATCAGAAAGCGGTGAAGACTATTTATGCTCATATTCGTGATACTAATGAACTATGTAGTGTCTTAACTCTTTGGGAAGCCTCTAATAGTGAGTCTGGTGCTACTGTAAATGTTGTTAGTACTGGTGAAGACTCGGTTAATGTTGAAGGTTCTCAGATGGGCCAAGGACCTCAGAGTCAAGGAAGTGCTCAAGTTAGAGTTAAGGTCCCTATTAAGTGTTGGTACTGTAATGGTGCTGGTCATATGAAGCGAGATTGTGATCTTTGGAAGGCTAAAGTGAGATCTCAGCCGACTCAGATAGTTAATGCTGATGTTCCAAAATCTATGGATCCTTCATCTGTAGTTGCTTCCCAGCAATTGAGTCCGGGTTCTGTGAGTGTAGCGCCAGCAGTTGCTGTACCAGCAACTACCAAACCTATCGGTAATAAAAGTTCTGATCAAGACCCTGCTAATGTTGCTACTCGAGGCTTTGAGAAAGTATCGGTTATCTCAGCTATAGTGAGTGGTAAGAGACATTGTATGGTTGACCTGATTATTCGTCAGGAACCTCGGTGTTCTCAGTGGGGTGCTAAGGTTGCTGCATTGTTGGATACAGGTGGTCAAGGTACAGCATATATTAATGCTGATCTGTATCGTGCTATTAGAAGTGAGGGTTTATTCGATGATTCCTTGAGTACTTGTCAAGGAGTTACTTTTGGTAACGGTGAACGTGTAGCTGCTTTAGGTGGCTTCTTTGCTTCTCTAGAGGATGGTGACAAGAAGGAGTTGGTGGAATCGGTTCAATTCAAGGTGATCGAGGGATTAACTCCCCTTGTCATTGTTGGTATTGAGACTATATAACGTTCTACTCTACTTCAGTCAATGCTACTTGCTAGCATATCGAGCATAGCTATTGATGGTGCGACTTCTGATACCATTGATGTGAATGACCATATTGCAGTAGTTCAACCGGATGAGGTCAGAGCTGCGACTAATATGACTCTGGATGACCATGGTTATACTGTAGATTGTCCTCTAATGAGTGCTCGTTCGGTAATGCCTCATGCTGAGCCTCGGAGAAGGAGGAGTCGGAGTAAGGAAATTGCTATTCATAGGAGGATTCTTATTGCTGCTCGTGAAGGAAAGTTTGCTCCTATTGATGTTGCCTCAGCGACCATTATAAATGAGGTTGTTCTGGTTGATAAGGGTTCTTCAAGTGGAGATGGTTCGTCTGTGATTCCTTTTTATGATATGACTGACGAGGAGATTAAGAAGAGGTTTCGAGTGACTCTTGACTGCCGAGGATTGAATTGTATGAGGCTTGTTAAGAAACCTGATTCCCCTGGTGAGTATATGTGGGTTTTGCCGACAGAGATGGCCGAAACATGGAAGTTGGAATCTTCTGTTACTCAGAGTCAGACTAATGCCTTCCTTACTCTTCGTGAATGGCCAGGTCATTTACGACGGTTTTATTTCAAATTGGATCTGTCGGATGCATTTTCGGCAGTAAGAACCGCTAAGGATCCTTGGCCGTTATTCTGTTGTAAGACCTATGATGAATTTGGTCAGGAACATGTTTGGTGCTGTACCGTTATTGTTCAAGGATTTCGGTACTCTCCGATTTTATTCTCGAGAGTGGTCTCGGATGTATTAGAAGCAGCTAGAGCTGAATGTAAGCGTCTTGGTTATGATGCTGAGCTTACTCATTTCCAAGATGATGTATTGGATGGGGGCTCCTTATCTAATAATGATATGAAGAAGTCCTCTACTTTTAGGGAATGTAAAGCTCAGCTAATGTCGCTTCATCGGTTCTTACCACTGTGTATGGAGCCAGTTATTATGGTTGGTGATAATATGAATTCTGTTGGTGACCGACATTGGCATTCACTGGAAACTAATCATTGTGCCGATGAGCATGAGATGAATATAGTTATGGAATACCAACGGTCTGTGGTTGGTACGTTATGGGTGAATCGATCATCTTGTATATCTCTGGTGGACGCTATGGCTAGGATTTCCAAGGAGGAAGCTGACACTTTGGAATGTGATCGTCAAGACGGTTTGGTGGTTACTTTGAACCCTCTGTCATGTATGCTAGCTACCATTAATGATCTCGATGATGAGAGTATCTGTGTTATTGATGATGATGTAGAGTCGTGGAATGATATTGTGGTGGAACCTTTCGTTTGCCCCAAATTCTGTGATCTTGATGAGGTAAGAAGACAACAGTTGACGTGTCCAGAGGTTGTGGCTTTGAAAGAGCAGTCTGGTTTCATCTCTGACCCTGATGGGACGGTGTATCGTGTGCAACGGTTCAGTGACTGTGAACTTCAGTCCTACTGGTACTCTTGTTAAGCAACTATTACTGCCTAAATCTTGTCGTAGACATCTTGTTGAGCAAGCTCATGCGGATACTCATGCTAATGGACGACAGTTGAAGTTCTTCCTCCAGTCTTGGGCGTGGTTTCCCAAGCTTGGTAATTTATGTCGTGCTGTGGCTCAGGCTTGTCCAACTTGTCAGTTGACAGCTAGTCAAGCTGGTAGGGAGTTTGCACCTCATGGTACTAGGAGACCTACTTCGGATACTCCGACGGCTTGGTTGAGAGTCGGGGTAGATGTGGTTCACATGGGTGGTGGTGGTAAGCTTTTGACAGCTACATGTTGGTATACTTCATTCTGTGATTTCGAGCCTATTCCTGATACGAAGGCGAGCTCTTTCATCCGTGGATTGTTTATATTATTCATGCGATGTGGATGGCCACGATGTGTATTCTCTGATGGTGAGTTTAATTCTCAAGAAGTTCAGTCATGGAGTAAAGAGGTTGGTATTTCTTGGACCATCCATGCTGCGAATCATCCACAGAGTGGAGGATTTTATGAGAGACGGCATCGAATGATCGTTGAGGCTATGAGGAAGTTTACTCTAGCAAGTGGATCGTTGTGGTCTGATGAGCTGATCCTTGCCCAGGTTAAATGGTTGATTAATCATTCTGAGATTGGTGAGAGTGGAATCTGTCCGGCACTGCTCTTTTATGGTCGTGTGCTTCCTGTTCCTTGTATGAGGGGCGTTGATGATGACATCACGATCGAGCAGCCACAGTCTTTATGTGATCTCCTTAAGATTGTCGGTCGGGTTGGTAGTCAGCGGCAGAAGATGTTGGCTATGTTTCTTAATGAATGGCTTGATCAACGAGAACGGTCTCGTCCGACTATTCGATACGAGTCGAACTTGAAGCCTGGTGTATTGGTTTATGTCTTCACAGAACGTGTGAATAAGCTTTCTCCTACGTTCCGTGGTCCTTTTCCAGTGCTTTCAGTTCGTGGTCGTCATGTTTTGGTTACTACTTCTTCTGGTGTTGAGATGCACTGGCTTGGTAACGTTAAACGTTATAAGACTCTTGACCCAGATGGACGTCGCCAAGCAGCAGTAGCTTCTGAAGAACGTACTCAACAAGCTTTACGAGAAGAGAATCGAGTTAAGGATGTTTTGCCTGTGCGTTCTTCGAAACGTCTACGTGGTGAGTCTCCTGGTCTGATGGAGACTGTTGAACGAGCTAAGAAGGTTGCTAGATCGTGATGGTTATTTAGGGGGGCTGTAATGTAGTAAACCGCCTCTCTCATTTGCTAGGATACATCATTGTGTTCGTATGTCTCTGTGGCGTGTGCAAGTCAATGATACTATAGCGCCCTTGTGTATTGTCCCCTAGCGTAAAGCTAGTCGTTATTGCGGAAGTTTTATTGTAATGTATGAACAAGTTATAAGCTCAATTTTAATTACCTTCTATGTCACAGTATCCGTCGAGTTCTAAGGGTGGGGATAATCCTGCTGATTCCAGTAAACGGTCTACACAGGCCGGGAACACTACAGACCCTCCGCAGCATTCTCAATGATGAATGCTCCTCCCTTAGGATAAACTACAATCCCTGACTTCTCCCGCCACAAATCTTCTGAGCCGCTTCCCATCGGAACCACGCCAGAAGCAATGCCGGAGCTATCGCTTAGTTATATTTAGTCTGAATGACCGACACAGCGCGTGTCGGTACCGACGGTGATGAGTGAAGAGCTCTCCGAGAAGTTCTCGGCGAGAACAGCCTTCACTTAGATAATAGTTCAGGTCAGTTACACATTGTAGGAAGTTCTCACTAGGAGCTCTTGAAGAGTTACTCTTCCTTCAGTCACAAAAATTGCGTGACGCTCACTGGAGTTCAGTGAGCGTCACGCAATTTTCGTCTATCTTGAGAAGCGACACGCCCACAGGCTGTGGGCCACAGCGTTCCCGCTTGCTCTTGATTGTTGGAGGAATATACGTTCGCTCTCCTCAGCTGAGCTCAGGAGTCCCCTCAGGGAACTCCACCAAATTATTCAGGCTGAATAATTATAGTAGTCTATATACAAATTCGGGTAGAGCCAACCAAAGTTTCCCAAGATTTCCTCAAAATTTGCATACCGACGTATGTATTTGACCATGAGCCGCTCAATGAGCATCATGACATGATGAGCGTATTTCCCCATATTGACCTTGAGGCTAGCCATATTGGAACGATTTTCGTCCTTAGGTACTTTACTCACCGATTTATCATTGTGAGCGTTGTGTGTGGTGCTTTTAGCATTGGAGAATACTCTCCGTCGAAGTCACCAATTCTTGGAGTCAGAACTGTACCAGACTTGAAATTTGAATTCATATCCAAGTAGGCTCAACTTGAACGCATGATGAAGTAGGATGATGCAGTATGAAGTAGGCTCCATCGTGCAGGGTGTTGAAGATTCGGACGGTATCGGAGGTCCTTCTACCGGTCCTTTGATCGACCCGAACCAGAGATTAGCGCAACCGATCGTGGCTGAAGTGACAGCGATCCTGCTGTGGTAAAGTCTCAAGTCGGTTCCAGCCCGGAATTTTTCTTATACATTAGCTAGTTGTTTGGGAGACAGCACCCATGTGCCTGCGTGTTAGGCAATGTGACTAGGGGGTTGCCCCAATGCACGGCGTGTTGGGAGCAGACAGTGTTATCACTAACTGCTCCCCAGTCGACTATCACCAAGCCTTAATGAGGCTGCCTCATCGAGAATCTAGATTCCAGATAACTATTGCGATGCGGTGAAGCATGCCTTGACCAAGGATCGTGACAACTTTCTGAAGTTCCGATCTGAAACTTTCGACAAATCCTGCTGTATTGCGTCGAAGTGGTGCGCCATCGATTTCTACCTGATGGGCTAATATGAAAGTGTTGTTGTGACCCTAGGGAAGGTGAACTCGACATAGCAATAAAGGAGTTGATAAGAGATTTAATAATGATCCATCTATGATTGCAAACACGGAAATATCTAGCTTAGCTTATCACAATCTGAATGGATTACATATCTTAGGGCGATCGCACAAAATGGGACATAACAACCTGCCCCCCTGCGATCAAACCACAAAAAAAATTTAACGGTAATACAAACGAACATTACGGATATGTTCTCGAACTTCAGTCTGAGGATCAGATTGACAGTCTTCTGGACGGAGATACAAAACGTAGTCGAGAACCCTCATAACTACATAAACTTTATCACTGTAAGACCCAGCAGCACCTGCTCTGCCAGGCTTCATAGATGGGCGAAAGATTAGAACCCTATCACCAGGCTTGAGCTTCGGCAATCGGCGCCTGACGGTCACATCACGATCGAAGAGGCTATGTCGAACCTGCTCCCGAACAGCTTCTCTGGCCTTATCAAGCTGTTCGGCACCGTCTTGGTTTACAATCTCTTCGTCAGACTCCAATCTTTTAGAGGATAACAACGACATCTCCTCTTCTTCCAGAGCTCGGCGTCCAAACATAATATCAAATGGAGTAAGACTAGGGACACCTAACATCGTTAAAGGTCTCGAATTCAGCCTTTGTACAGCCAAGCCGATAAAGCGTTCCCATGACTTAGAACCTTCGCAAGATCGAGCAACCAATCGACTAACCTTATATAATAATACCGCCAACAGATTTCTCCGCTAGACCATTAGCCCAAGGAGAAAACCTAGAGCTATAGACAACCACAGTACCAACCTCACGCATCTCCTTCTTGAAGAAAGCTGCTCGGAAAGCCGGACCCTGGTCACATCTTAGCTTAGCAATTAGGCCATACTCCATCATAATACCCAGAGTGGTGAAGGTAACCAAACGGCTCGTCTGGTCGGGCATCCCATGAGCAAGAGCAAAGCGGGGATATGAATCCACACAGACGAGAACATAGCTGTTTCCCCTTGATTGGGAGATTTCAAACGGTCCACAAACGTCAACGCTCACCACAGCAAATACACGAAGAGCAACAGGGTCTAAACGTGCATAATCATCTCCTTTGACAAAACGCTTGGTAGCAGACCGTTGACAAAGCGGACATGTCTTACAACACCAGGAAACCAACTTATTCAAGCCCTTAATTGAAAATACCTTCGTGATACGCTGCTTGGTATACCTTGGGCACAAATGACTATACCTCTCGTGAAAGGCACGAGTGATACGCTTTGCCTCTTGAAGACCTCGATCAGTGTCCACTGGGATAACATAAACTTCGATAGGCTCTCGCAGTGTATCACCGTAAGGATAATGTAGTCGACAAAGGATCCCGTCAGACAACAAACGAAGATTCCGAGTAGCTTCACTCAAGAGTACTCTATCCTTATTAGAGTACTTCTCGACATCATTCGCCGCCTCTGCTTCTAACCATTCACAATAGGTCTTCAACACCGGAGATTCTCGTTGCAAGCTACGAAGTCGCTGGCGAGGATCTTCTTGCCCACTCAAAACACTCAAATAATCTTCTTGGTGTATCAAAGGAAACTTCAAAGAGGACCCCAAATCACCATCACTGGCTTCGTCCGTGTCCAATACAGCTTGTGAAAGGAGACTCTCTGGCTCCACATCATCAAGACCCAAAGAAGCAGTAAGACCCCACTTCTCAACCAATCTACTGAGGCGATCAGCAGGGTTCAGAGCACCCTCAACTTTACCATAGGTAACAGTTATACCACTGGCACGAATATCCGAGACCAACTCATTTATACAACATACTAACCTTTGTACAGCAACCTTCTCAATAGACTTAGCACCAACACGATTTTCCATCCACCGTAGAGCTGTTGAGAATCCGTATATACGAAGATTGATGAAATCGGGGGCCCAATCGTCCTATGGCTACACAACATCCCATGCAAATACAACATGAGCTTCCCAATAGCAGCAAGCTCCTTCCTGTTGATATGCCAACTCCGTTGTGCTTTAGTACTCAGCCATATGCCAGCCTGCTCTGCCAAATCCCACACCTCTGTATTTGGCTTAGAGAGTTCCGGAATAATATCAGATATAGGGACCGTACCATTCACAACCTTGATACACCACCCGTAACCAACTGGGGAAGCATCTACAAAGCACACCAAACTAGAGCCACCATAACACCAGTGTTCGCACCGTTGGGCAGAATATTCCTCAAGAGTCGTAAAACACGAGGAAATGATGTTGAAGTCAGCAGAGCCATTCTCAATCGCGAGCAACTGATCTGCCTCCTTCATCCCCTTCCCACCGATGGACCGGAGTAAATCTCCTGCTAGTCGTGCTTCACAATGCAATCGACAGGGATCCACACCAGTACCACCACAACCGGCAATACCAAGAAGTAGACGAGCAGTCCATTTCATATTGAAAGAACCATCAGGAAATCTAAGACCCGAAGGAATCGACTTTCTGCAGGACAGCATGAGATTTCCTTCACGAAAGCACCAGTTCAAACCCAAATGCTTGAACTGCATCTCTTTATCAGAATTATGTTGCTTAGATGCAGGCAACTCGAAGCCTGCTTGAAGGAAAACACTCTCCATCATATTCACAAACCGGTCTGCAGCATCAACAGCTTCTCGATCACAGTAGATGGTAATATCACCGAGGTAGATGTAGAAGCTCGCAGTTTGTAGAAGAAGTTGATCCTCGGCACTCAGCTGAGAATAAGCAACATTCATCAAATGTAGCAACACCGTATAAAGGCCTGATGGGCCTACTCCTAGGCCAAAGACCATTCTCGAGCTCGCATAGAAGGCACTATGGACCCGTAAACTCACCGGCTTCCTTATATGGATCCGGTAAAAGGCTTGAGCACAGTCCAGAGTACGAATCCTACCACCCGGCCGCCACCTCAGTCTCAAATCATTCAATATTTGAGTGATACTCGGACCATTATAACCACATCTCGGTAATCTTTCATTATAACTTCGAGCATCGATAATTGGCCTACAAGAAGTACTCCGACCAGGACTGGGGAGAGGGAAGACCAAAAGCGATGGACCTTCCCCCTCCTCACCTTTAGATAGCCGCCACCATCCCTTCTTCAGATATCTACCAAGCTCTTCCTGGAATGCAACAGACTCATCATTCTTCAACTTGGCGAACAAACCCCATGTATAGTCCCTCCGTGGTCTTGACGATACCTTATCATCACACTTCAAAGGAAGATCATTTTCAGCACAACAAACCTGCTCTGGTGTGTCTTTCTGCTCAGAAGGACGTAAACGTCTCATACGCCATCGGTATTTCTCAGTACCGATCACAGGATACCAACCATCGGTTTCTAGCCTAGCATTAGGCAGACCAATCTTAGAGGGATGACTCAGCGTACCACCAGATACGATAAGACCAGGACCATCAGAGATCTGATTAACTAAGGAAATAGGGTCATCTTCAGCTTCGACCTGGTAGAGATCACTGAGACCATCATCAAAGTCTTCGTTGACGATATTCACTGGATCACTACCCGCTTCACTATTTGTCATTAATGGCTTCAACTCACCTTTTACGGTGACCGACCGCTCGGACTCACTGTTCACACCAAAAGACAACGTGACTCCACAATCACACATACTCCTGACGCCCAAGATGGCATTCTTATTTCGACCACCTTGAAGAACCCTAAATTGGATTTTGGCAACATCGACCACAGCCACCACCTGTCGAACAGAACCGTCGGCCAGAGTAACCCGTAATGACTCAGACACTCCTCGACTAGATGTAGCCAAGCCAAGCTTTTCTACAAGCGATGCAGAAATATAATTATAGTAAGCTCCCGTATCCAGGAGAGCAGACAATATCTTACCCTGACCAAGGGGAATACTGATAGTAGGGCCAGCTAATTTCTCCTTAGTCTTGAAAACAGCACATACAGCACAGGGATCATCATCCACAATATTCAATAAACGCTGAGTAATCTCCACGGTCTCTTCAGACTGACTAACCTCAGGCTGCTTAAGGGATACTTCAACAGAACTAACGGTGACGGAGGACTTCTCAATAGGAGGCTTAGGAGGACCACTGGCTGTACCATCTTTGGAGTCGGTATGAGCAACCTTATAAGACTTACCAAACCGACATTTCCCAGATCGTCGCCAATTATAGCATATCTTCTTTTTTACCACTTCTTTAAAAGTACCATTACCAGCCTCAGTCACAGAGTTAACCTTTCCCAAGCTCCCACGAGACCCCTCCTTTACCCCAGTGATCATACGCTCACGCATTACCAGTGCAGTTGCCAGTTGGCTATAGGTAAGACGGCCACCGGCATTTGCCATACGATCAACAGCAATCTCTTTTACATCTTGTCGGAGAGAGCTTAGAAGGGCAGCAACCAAACGACCATTATCCAAGACTATACTATGAGAGGCCAAATCCGCTATAGTAGTCCCAAATCGGTTGAGAAAATTTGCCGTGGCCTCTGACTTAGTCTGTCGTAGTGCCAACAGCTCTCGCTCGGCCTTCCAGGAACCAGTATCACCGTCCACATCCGATGTTAACACCTCCAACTCCTTCATAAGACGGTTATACTCCTCCTTCCACTTCTGTGCCGAAGCATTTGGTGGAGGAGCTGTAGGCCTGAGTCGTAGTTGAACATTATCAGCAAGATTCCTCATCAGAGCATAATACCTCAACACGTAGTCATTATAACCACGGGAATCACAGAGGGCATAAAACTTCCGACGCCACGATGGGAAACTACGGATATCAGTAAAGCCGGAATAACACGAACCGTCGATGATCTTAACGGATTCTACCTCCTTTCGGGCTTCTCGGATAGTCTTCGAACCCACGTCATTTTCCAGTACAATAACATCATCCATTGGTGTAGGAGCAATACCACTACCAACATGCTGATCACCTTCAGATTTAACACCTGCCAGGCGGACACTGAAGTCATCAAGAACTGGATACTCAGCCTTCACAGAATTATACACAGGACGATTTCTTATATCGTCCACCTTAAGAGATGCAGAAAAATCAGTATCAAGTCGTTGTTGAAGAGAACCATGATCGCGAAAGAAAGGAGAATACCAATCAGAGAGTAGAGCCTTACGGGCTGGACTCGTATTATTCCTTGTAGCAGTAATACGGAACGCCGTAATCTCCTGCAGCACCGCCCGAAGCCGAACTTCTTCGGGACCCAGAACCAGATCCAAAGCATCATTAAAAGCTTGATCGGCCGAGATACCTTCACCGCCATCAGTAACAGGACATATAGATTCGAACAACCGCTTCAACTCCGCGTCCAGATCCAAACCTTCAGAAGTGAACCAACTAGAGATCACCTTTGCCCATGAGGTCCCGGTATCGGAGCCAATTTGTTGTGACTCTAGGGAAGGTGAGCTCGACATAGCAATAAAGGAGTTGATAAGAGATTTAATAATGATCCATCTATGATTGCAAACACGGAAGTATCTAGCTTAGCTTATCACAATCTGAATGGATTACATATCTTAGGGCGATCGCACAAAAAGGGACATAACAGTGTTTATAGATTCTTTAATAAAGAACTCTGACAAACGGGTAGCGTGAAGAGTGGCAGGATTGGATGGGAAAGTTTGCGACGAATCGGGGTGTGACAGACCCCTATCTGTCATGATCGAGGGCCTCGATTCGAGGCCTGTCAGAGCTCGACGTGATAGATTGCTACATGTCCGAATCATTCACGGATACGGTCTGTGAGTGATTCTTTAGTATTGATGATGTATTTTGCTCTCATTTTCTCTTGAATATATCCACAATGATAATTGTCCCTAGTAGCAACACAAAGCTATTTCAACCAGTGCTAATGACACTAAATACGTGAGGTTATTGATTCTGGAAAAACTACTACTTTCGTCATCATTATTCATGACTACTTCATTCTCTAATCCTGGATTGGACAGTGGGAGGCAACGAACTGGTCACAGGAGTCTAAGCCTTAGTAGCCACACTTATAACCACACATCGCATGCTCTCTTCGCGACAGGAAGAGGGATAACATACCAACCCAGCCCTCAATTTGTCGGAGATCGTGACCGGACCGCGGCTTTTTGACATTCCCGCCTGCCGGAGCCCCACAAGAACTCCTTTCTCATGATCTTTATACCCGAAATCAGCTTTTCTTTGTGCAGAGATACGATGAGGTAACGTTATATATCCGTCACTTGATACATTTGACAAGAAAAACACTACGAAGTCGAAACTGGTACAGCTCCTTCCTATATAGCTGATTTTACGTGTGAAGATACCTCAGTACTCAATACAGATATTAGAACCGTTGGTACGGCGTTGGAAAGAGCTCAGCAAGGGCTTTCAAGTGATATCTTTGCTCACGAACTGTCACTGGCCGCGAAATTACGAGGGGTGGGCCATGTTTTTTGCACTACCCTGTAAAGTCATATGACATCGACACCAGATATTATCCCACTCATTTCCTAATGAATAACTCCGAGCCCTTTAATGATCCTAAGTTGTCACTGGGGAGAAACGCACTTGATCCTCACGACGCTACAACGAAGAGAACAACGCAACCGTAGTATAGTAGCTGATCGAAGGATCTATACTGGGCGCCTGGACACGCCGAGTCTTCTCGACTTGACGCGCTGCGTTGCGCATCTTCAAAAACTATTACTACTAGAGAAAACCTCTTTGTTGAGCAAAATCGAAAACTCATGTCTTAGACATGATGTCTAGCCAGTAAGTCGAAGACGACCATATATGCGAGATTTGAGATGAGTATTCTTTCTCATCGATGAAGCAGGGTTATAAGAAATACGGCGAAGTACATCATTCAACGGGCAACTATGATTTACTGATAGGATAGACGGGCTCGCGAAGGAGACCACATACACCTGAGGTAACATACACATCACCATGGATTGGGAGGAAAGTTTCCTCATACTCTCTCAGAGAGTTGAACTCACCATATTCCGTATCGTCAATAACGATTCTTGCATAGCCATGCTCCCCCCATTTGGTGCCCCATGAGTTCTTTATACGATAATATCTGAGGGGAACAACAGTAGAGCCGCGCGGCTAGCGTGACGGCCTAGTAACTAGGCCCTAGCTCTTACGGGTCATGGCCTCTATCATAACCAACTACAAGGACAGCATGAGTTGGGAAGTTGCCACATACATCTAAAAAG